TAAAGCCATTAAGCTGATTAACACCACCGAAAGATATGCTTTGGACTACAAACTGCTCAGGACAATTTTGAGATGGCTAGCTAAGATGATCCAGATTCACAGATTACTCGAACAAGGACCTAAGCCCTGCACTTTCACATGATGCAGAGACTAGACAACAAATGATATCGCTACCTCTCCCAGGACTGGACAATTAATCCAAATTTTTTCCTTTCAGGATCCCCTAAAGATGCCTTCACCCCCAAACAGCAGGAAGTAATTTTAAGAACATGACACCCACATTCCTAAGAGGTGGGGTGGGTGTTTGTTTTTTGTTTTTGTTTTTTGTTTTTTGTTTTGCCATTTAGTGAGTTATGGATATTGTCATTGTTTACAATGTTTGGTTACAAGTTGCTAATTGTTAATGGTAAAAAAAAAAAAGGTAAACAAAGGAGATTAGATTCAGGGTTCTTGTTTTAAAAAAAGAGGATATAGGTAAGAGGTAGATTATTGCATCTATGCTGAAAAAAAGATATATAACTAATAGGATAAGTGGGTAGATTGTTGAATCTACTCTAAAAAGAAAAAAGGGAAGATATAGAAATGATAAGATAAAAGGTAGATTTTTTTTTAATCTACTCAGAAAAGAAAAAAGAATATGGATACTATAAGATAAAAAGGTAGATTACTGAATCTACTTTAAAAAAAAAAAAACTACTTGTTTTAAATAGGATAAATAATGAAATTTTTTGTCTGAATCTGTCAAATGTTAATGGACTAGACATTGTTAATGTAATTCTGGACTGGATATATTGTATATACTTATTGGATATACTTTTTCTTACATTAGTTATAAATTTTTTTATTTTAAACAAAAAAAGGGGAAATGTGGTTGGTATATTATGCACCCCAATAGATTTATCTGGGGGTCAGAGAACAGAAGAGCTATTATATTAAACATAGAGGTTAGGCAGTGGTAGCACACGCCTTTAATCCTAGCTATCCAGAGGCAGAGATCCCTTGGATCTCTGTGAGTTCAAGGCCACACTAGAAACAGCCAGGCATGGTGACACACACCTTTAATCCCAGCACTTGAGATCTCATGTCTTGCTTGGAAAAGACACATGCCTTTAATCCCACGAAATAATGGCAGGAAGCAGAAAAGTATATAAGGCATGAGGACCAGGAACTAGAAGCTTTTAAGCTTTGAGGCTTTTAGCAGCAGTTCAGCTGAGATACATTCGGGTGAGGACTCAGAAGATTTCAGTCTGAGGAAACAAGATCAACTGAGGAATTGGAGAGGTGAGGTTAGCTGGGGCTTGTTCTGTCTCTCTGATCTTTTGGCATCCACCCCAATATCTGGCTCCCATGTTTGTTTTTATTAATAAGGCCATTTAAGATTCATGCTACAGGTGTCCATGGACTGTCCTGAAAACAAAGAGCCAAGGTGTCCCCCTTCAGTTACATTAGAAAATTAAACTATTACTTTCTTACTGCAGTTCATTTTTGGCCTGTTATTTCATAACCATAATCCCTAATTTTTGCCAAACAGTTTTACATAATTGAAATCATAACAATATGAGAATATTCTCTAAAAATCAGTATGAATTATATAAAACTATATTTCTCTTCCCATTCCTAATGTGGATTTTGTTTTGTTTTGTTGGTGCTTTTATTTGAGGGGGGGAGGGGGGGGTCTAGACAAGGGTTTTCTGTGTAGCCTTGGCTGTCCTGGAACTCACTCCGTAGACCAGGCTGGCCTCAAACTCACAGTGATCCACCTGCCTCTGCCTCCTGAGTGCTGGGATTAAAGGCGTGTGCTACCACCACCCAGCTCTAATAATGTGTCATTAATCCTGATACTAAGACCATACTTTGCCAAAACTTAGATCTTCAGATGTGAGTATAAATGCTATAGTAACTGCAGACACGAGCAAAGTAAAAAGGGACCACTGCTGGGACATGTCGGCTGAGGGCAGAGGAGCAATGGAAAGGGGGGTAGCAGGGTACAAGTTATCTGACCAGGGAAATGGAAAGGGGGGGGACTCTAGTTGGGAACGGGGAGGGAGATAAATAGAGGAGGAGGAGGAGGGTAAAATAACAGTAAGGATGTCTGAAAATGTCTTATGGAATCATACTACGAACTACTATCTATCTTGTATATAAAATATACATATATAGTTTAAATGAAAATGTTCATATAGGCTGACAGTGCTCCCTCCAAGAGCCAAAGGCCATCTAGCAAAAACCCTAACACCAGGCTTAAGAAGCCCTCTTTTGAGTTTTCGGTCAGAGCTGCCCAAGAGAGTCCCAAAACATCACAGACTATTGTTATTGCCCTTGGTTGCCCCTCACAGGTGGAAGGGAAGTCCCTATTGCTCAAGACACCATGTACAGACACAGAACCCATAGGCCTGTAAGCTTCCAGCTTCCAGTTCCACTGACCTGAAAGCCTTCTCCCTGAGGACTAGCTCTCATGGTACTAGAAAGCACCACGCAAGCTTCCAAAGGAGGGAAGCAGCCAACAGTCCTGCCTGCCCAGCTCTGAGGCCTATGGAGCACAATGACCAGCATGGATGGTACTAAGGAAGCCCTTAGGGCGCAGCAGTGACACACAGAGCTTGGTGGTGGCCAAGCTCTAAGTGGACTCAGACCTACTCAGAGGGAAATCACACCTGGTACTGGAAACCTAGCCAACTACCCAGCTGGTGAAGTCATGGACCTTGGAGACCTACAACCACTGTCTCATCAAACCAGCATAATCCCTAACTACACTCTAAATGTCCTTATACCCACATATAAGTGTAGTCCTCCCCCTACAGCAAAGAAACTTTGCAACAGATGGCGACCACTAGAGAAAATCACAACCAATCCAAATGTGAAATTGTGGTGCCCGGTCCCCACGGATACATCTACAAACAACTCTAGACCCGAAGGCTCAGGGAACATTTCAGAAGTGGGGGCACAAAGACTGTAAGAGCCAGAGGGTCAGGGAGTTTGCTATGAGGCTGTCTCCAGTAATGTCAGAAGTTCCATCCATGAAGTCTCACCAGCATGACTCTCTACATATGAGCTGCACAATGACAATAACAAGAGATATGGTAAAGTAGATGGGGGAGCCCACAAGGCCTCAACCCTACACAGAGAATAATAGGCACTAAGGAATGTTGGGAGAAAAATAGTCTTTTAGGGAAGAGCACAATTAGTTATCCAATACTAATGGCCAACTCTCTAAAAACATATGTGACAGTACAGAGACTAAGTATGTATTATGAACATGTACTCACATGCACATAACAACAACTAATGAAAATAGAGGCCATGAATTTGAAAGAGCAGGAAGGGGTATATGGGAGGGATTGGAAGGGAAGGAAGGGAAGGGGAAAATGACATAATCTCAAAAGCAAGGGAAACCAATGAGAAACTTTTAAATGCATTGTCCTTTTAGGGAAGTGCTCGCTGTGTCAAGTTGTGCCAGACATTGCCCAAGTGCAGGCGATGCAGCGGACTTCAGCCCTGCCACCAACGTCAGCCTTGCGGTCCAGAAGGGAATGGAGATAGTCACACATGGATAACCGAGTGGACCAGTACGGGTTGGTGAACGGAAACAGTTACACAAACAACAGGGGAGGCAGAGAGCCACACAAGCCTCACCATCACCCCCACTCTAAACACTGTGGAAAACACGGCGTTGTAATTCACTTCAATTCCGCATCCCAGTTCTCAGAATAAGAAATTAACACCATGGCAGCATTTTCTATAACCATGCTGAACAATCTCTAATAGTTCTAAAAGACCAGGCACAATGAATTTCACTTCTTTGTCTTCCATTCTTGGAAGCAGCAAAAAGAAAACAACAAACACACCAACCACTTACCACATAGTAAAACCGCTTTGCAAGGGTGTGTATGAGGATGATTTTGGCCACGGTTGCAGTTCCATACAGGCAAACGGCCACATAAAAGTGGTTGTACCACGAGAGCGACTGTCCGACGAGGGAGACGAAGACAGCGATGATGAGAACGGTGACAAGGCTGGTGAACCAGCCGATGAAAGTGATGGCGAGTCCGCACAGGAAGTCCCTCGTGTAGTCGGCATCTACGCAAGAGAACAGAGCTAATGTCACCAGCGTCAGCAACTCAACTCCACGACCGGCTCGTGCTAAAGGGGCCAACAGGAAAGCAAAAAATGCACTACTGTAAGTGAAAATATTGAAATGTCCTGGTGTAGAGAATTGTCACAGCCAAGAATGGGAGAAGAGTAAAGGAAGCCAGTCAAGGAACACTGAGAGTCCAAGGTATTAACTCATAAGAGCGATTCTGACAGCCTCCTTACCAGGGAAAGAGGAGGGAATCATCGTTTTGGGGATGCCTTGTTTATCAAAATATCAGCAAGGGTTTTTAAAAGGCAAAGCTCCACATGAACTCTTGCTAAAAGGCAGTAAGCAGAACAGGGCTGGCAGGATGGTTCGGCAGGCACATACACTGGCCATGCAAGCTGAACAGCCTGAGTTCGATTCCCTGACCCCGCAGAACTGAAGCCCACAAGCTGTCCACTGACATAAACACCGTGGCACACTACCACCCCCACATGCACATACACCAATAAATGAGTAAATGGAAAAACGTTTTAAAAGATGCTAACATTGGAAACCAATGACAGGGAAAATAACTGGCGATAAAGAATTATTTGAATTGCTAAAAACTTACCTTGAATAACATACAAAAATTTAGACTCTGAAACATTTCGAGCAGAAATGATTCAGGTAGAAGGGAACAGTTTAGCCAGAAATAATGCATCCATCTTCTGGACTGTGATGATGGCCTGTAGTGTAGACCTACCGGGACCTTTCACTAACATTCAGTCTACAGGCCAGCAGGATAGCTCAGCAGGCCACCTTAGTGTGACCCCTAGGACCCACATGGTGGGAGGAGAGAGTCAATTCCCACAAGCTGCCCTGATTTCCATACTTGTGCCTGTGCCCACACCCACACACACACACAAAAATACATAAATGTTTAAAAAATAAAAAGGCAACTTCTACAAACCTCTTATTTCTTTTTGGTTGTATGAAATTTTACTTTTAACATACGTTATAGAGTTGAAAATAGTATAAAATATTACTGAATTTCAAGAAATATTAAAATTTATTACTAATAAGTAGGGAAAGCATTCTAACAGTTTCTAATTTTTCCTGAGAGGCACACATGAACACCTTTTTTTGTATCGTTTACAATATTGAAGTTCTGTTTCAGTATTACTAGTAATTTATATCATAACAAAAGATTAACAACTGTGAGGGTCATGGGCGACAGACAGGCCAAGGAATACAGGGTTATCTACCCACAGATCCCCGCACAGCACAGG